TTGACATGGATTTTGTCTGTCTTTGATCATCCGCTTTACCCTCAGCTTTCACCTTGCATCTCCTCAGGTAGAACAAGGAGTAGCTTCAGAAAACTGTATGCTCGCACGTCTAAGTATAAAAATTCTATGATACCATACTTGTCACGTATTTTATGTGATGAAAATAGTGTCAGGCAAAAATTAACTAACCTTTTTTCATCTAGTAAATAAATGATTTCCTCCATCCATCCTTATATACCTTCAAGTTTTACTTTTATTACTTCTATTATATTTATGGTCCCGTTACTTCTCTGTTTTACTCTCATAATTGCAAACACCAACTTATCTCCATGACGGCAGTAATCTTTGTTTTTCCCCTCACCATATCATGTAAAGAGAACATTATACTCAATATTTTTAAACATGTTAGGATTTCTATACCACATTGCCAATACTGTGTGACACAAGCCAACGGCAATTTTCACTTGTATTCTTATTATTATTACCCTAGCTGTTATCATTATTATTACTATTCCCATTTTATATGATGCATGTTTTGACACTACCTCTATTGTAAATGTCGAAAATTTTCTGTGTGATTAATTTTTATTTATAATTTGAGGAAATTAGATGCAATATTGTGATTAATGCTGAAAATTCCATTCTGTATCACAAGTACTGTTTTTGGAATAAAGTAAATCATTATTATTATTCCTCAGTCAGCAGTTCTTGTTTGGGAAGCTCATTCCTAAGACTACAAGTGTAGCATACTGAGAGACCTATATGTTCACGACTTATGAACAGAGGTCTGGGCAACATAGATTTCCAAGACTTCACTTCACGAAAACCCAACAATTTTCTAATCGGGCCTTTAACTCAGCCACGGCTTCTCTTCTCCTAATTCTATCTTCCAGAGGCCAGTCTGGCCTAATTCTCATCTTTTTATTCTTGATCTTGAATGCGTTGTTGAGAATAATACTTTTCTCCATCTCGTTCCCCAATACTATCTTCAGCAGTCGTAGGGAACTTTCCGTTGCATCAGCGATTCGTCTATCGATTCTGATGACTTAACTTATGTGAACCCCATTTCTTTTTTCTGGAAGTATTTCATGGATGATGGAACTAACTATCTCGAGATCATCAGCATATCGAGCAGGTGGATCCACCTTCTTCGATTCCTCCATGTTCCAAAATACTATACTGTAGTTTGAGTCCGAATGTTTAACAATCTTAGCATTGTTTACGGCCGTTGAGACCTTATAAATAAGCACAGTACTTTTCTCTTTCCGATAATTCTTGGGCTTTCCATTCTTCGGTACTAGCCAGGTGGAATCAGTTGGTTCCACTTTACTCTCGCCACAGTTAGAAGCCGTGCATTCACCAGGCACGCAATGATTCATTGTTGCGGTATCACCCTGCTGTCTTGCAATGTTGGAACTGTTTGCCCTCCAAGATTTTCGAGGCTTTTTGTGTGCTGTTGCAGACTTCTTGGCACGCTCTATCTCTGTTGTGTCTTTCGAAGCTAGGGGATGCAGTTTTGTCCCAGTCTTATGACTCAGGCCAGAATCCTCGCTTATGACATCAGTACTAGATGCTGCCTTTTTCCCGTCATCAGAGGTTTTGTTAATTTCTTGGATATGAGAAGTCCTACGGCCTCATGGACGAGGACGTCCAACGGGTTAGTACAAAATTCGCACGTCCACGGAGATGATGGCTTGCTGCATCTCCTATAGGCTGATGGTGATAAGCCTGTGCAAACCTTATGGAACCATAAGTTGCAGTTATCACGCTGCAACTCGTCATCCACCGGAAAGTGGCAATCCGGTCGTCCACAACTATTTGTGAGACTGATGTCAGTATAAGCTGTTTAAGTTACATAGACAAATATGTATATATATATTTAAATACAGAGATATAAAAACCACACAAAACGTCACAAAAGTGCAAAAAAATAAACACTACTTCAACTAATTATACCAGTTAGTGTAGACCAAAAAGCTTCTGATGCGATTTACACAACAAAGGCATAAGTTATTTCACAGCGTAAAAATGGCACCCCACTTTTCGAAGCGCTACTAAAAAGACGAGTAGCCAGCGTTTTTCCTCTTGAAGCTATTCACAGTATTCTTAATTGACATTCAGTATGAACCGACATGTTAGTCATTACCATGATCTTCCGAACAACCGTCCTTTTGTCTCACTGCTTCAACAAAGACTTAGTAGGCCACACACTGAATCTTATTGAATATATTTGAAATCTGAGACATTTTCATAACAGAAAGAGATTTCAGCTAAAAATTCAGGCTCATCACTACAACCGGGAAGCGAACAAAAAGAAATCAAACTGGTTTACAGTAGCTAGTAGAAACGATATTGGATGTGAGGGAACTGAGAGGAAAAGTAGGTGAACTCCGAAATCTCTAATCACACCTACAACTTAAAATAATTATTCTCGCTGAAAAGTGGCTAGCCCCCACTATCGCTGACAACGAAATCAGTATAGGTGATATGGTTCTGGTCAGGAGAGGCAGGGATGATAAGGAAGAAGGGGGAGTTGCTGTATACTTTGACAGGCAAGCTAAATGTGAGCGCGCAACGGACCCATCCACTTATTGAACTCTCAGGTTCCATATGGTGTCATTTCACCGTGGGCCACACCAAGCATTTACTGGGTGGCATCTACCGACCTCCCACCTGTGGGGTAGAGCACAACCAGCACTACCAGCTACCCCAGAAACTTTTACCGATTCATGCCGGAAAGAAAACCAACCAACCAGGGGCCATGCGTCTTAATAAGCCCAAACGGTCAATATTTCACTAGTCTGGAGATGGCTGAAACATTCAGTTTGGCCAAACAGCTAAACAGCAATGTGAGTATTACCGTTACGGACCAAAATGGTGGCACTACTATTTCACACGAGGAAGACCTAGTGGCTACTCCCCAAATAAACCCCACGATGGTACTAAGGAAGCTACAGGGACTCACATCTGGGAAGTCCCCAGGTTGTGACGACATCAGGCCACCCGTTCTGAAACAGTGCGCCGAAGCTCTCTGTAGGCCCCAGTGCAACTTGTTCCAACACTGAATGGATTCGGGGAAACTGCCAAGGGAGTGGAAAAGAACCATCCTTTCTCCGATCTTCAAGTGTGGGGATGGGCGAAATGCTACTAGTTATAGACCAGTTGCTCTACTCCCGATGGTATCAAAAGTACTGGAGAGTATTATTGACGATCACATCAGGGAATACCTCGGTAGGACTAAGAGACTCCATGAAGCCCAACACGGTTTCAGGAAAGGCAGATAGTGTGTAACAAACCCACTATCAGCTTGGGACGATTGGACATCATGCTGGGATATGAATGTTCCAGTCCATGTGGTCTTCCTAGACTTTGAGAAGGTATTCGACACCTTTCACCATGACCTTTTCCTACTCAAAATAAGCTAGGCAGGTATAGGTAAGCCACTTCTGTCATGGTTAAAGGACTACCTAGCTGAAACGCAATTTCGCACTAAGGTCAGTCGAGTCCGATCATCTTGGCACAGCTCGTCATCAGGAGTGTTGCAGGGCTCTATCCTAGGACCACTGATGTTTTTGATTTTTATTAATGATCTACCATGACGTCTAAGCTGCCCGACTCTTCTATACGCTGAAGACGTAAAGATATGGGGGGCAATAAAGTGTCCGGAGGACTTAGATAGGCTGCAGGAAGATCTAAACCTTCTGGGAGACTGGGCGGTGGCCAGTGGCGTGACTTTCAACCTGAAAAAGTGCAAAGCAGTGAAGTTATGCACCTGTAGACTGCGGAATGCAAGTTACAACCCGTGCAATGAAAGCCTGTCTTGCACAACGTCGGAACGTGACTTAAGTCTAGTTTTAACAGAAAAAATGGACACACGCGTAATTTACACGGGGGATGTAGTGAGGGCATATGCGGTCATACACTTTACACGTAGACAGTTAGGTGCATTCACTCCTGAGCTCTTTCTAAGGTTGTACAAAATATACGTCAGACCACACCCTGAAGTGAATAATATTATTGCACCCCCCACTGCTCAGAAGAGACACCAACCTCTTGGAAAGAGTCCAACGACGGGCAACAAAAGGAGTGGTTGGTCTCCGAAATAAACCATATGATGAAAGGCTGAAGAAATTAGGCCTGTTCACACTTAGTTACCGTCGGCTTAGGGGGGATTTGATTACTGCCTACAAAATAACGAATGACCAGAATCGCCCAAACAAAGGTGTTCTGCCATTGAGTAGGTATAGGCTTCCACGTGGAAATCCCAGAAGGATGGCTCACCAGAGGGCGAGGACCCGGGTGCGCTGCCACTTCTATTCACTGCGGGTTTGCCGTCCCTGGAATTCCTTGCCGGCAGATGTAGCTATGGCACCGTCTTTGGATGCCTTTAAGCGAAGGCTGGACAACCATGCAGCGATACAAGGACTGCATCCAAATGGCCTATCTCCTTAAAATCGCATATACCAATCAGGGGTAGATAATTAAACTCGTCGTTTTACTTCTTTACATTCTCTCCCGTCTTACTCTCCTGACAACTTATTAATATTATAATTACTATTATTATTATTACTATTACTATTACCGATATATATATTATTCTTCAAACTTAATGAGCTGACTGTTGTTACGTTTCCTATTTTCGTTTCTGTCTCTTAGTCTGAATAGCTTCACTAATTATATCTATTATTATTATTACTATTATTATTACTATTACTATCTCTTTTCTCTTGTCGACGATACCGAAGGACTAACTGGCGAAAGGATCAACTCCAATCACAGTAGTAACAGTCTTAACATACCTCATACTACAAACCACATATAAATAATCACAGCACTACTCCCTTTGGAGTCAACCAAAGCTACGTCAGTCGAGTGGCGGGACAAGCTACGCAGAAGTTTACCGAAGATCAGGAACCTATACCTCACAATCAAGAAGCGAGCACAAAGAAATCAGATTGGTTTATGCTAGCTCGTAAAAACGATATTGGATATTGGACTTGATGTGTCCACGACCTTAGCAAGTGTGGGAATTCTGGTTTTTCGTGTACACATTGATGATGAACCCCATCGCCCCAGCCCCTATTCCTGTACTCCCCCCAGTTGCTGCACCCACCGTGCTGGTGGGGCTTCCTCATCTTGCAGCCCCTGGGGCCATTCCTGCTGTTGCCCCTGCAGTTGTTATCCCCCAAGCAGTGGCACCCATGCCGGAGGCCATTGGACAACCAAATAATACTATATATATCAACAATTTAAATGAAAAGATCAAACGCGATGAACTAAAGAAATCACTTTACGCTGTTTTTGTTCAATTTGGTCAAATATTAGATATAATTACTTGTAAGTTTTGTTGCACTAGCTTTGGTTCTTTAGAGTTCCATAATATATAATTAGTTTAATCCTGCTGAAAGTAAAATGCCAGTACACATATATATGTACATAGAATGGCTTCATGTGACTTACGGATACAAAATTTCTCTCATAGATACATCCTGTCGCAGAGTAATGAAGATCTTGTGCATTGGTGATGGTAAACAATATTTCTGCGTAGCAGAACAATTAGATGAATCACCTGAAGTACCATAATTGCACGTCAAAAACATATATACATAAAACTCGTGGGAACCTCGCACAATTATTACTCATTTTTAGTGAAATAACTGTAAATAACACTTTCGTACTCCTTAATGTTAACATATGAATAGACTGTTACTTGTAAAATAATAATGTAGGAGCCGATTTCAGTCACTTCCGGCGGTTGTCACTTTCCTGTTGGTTTTACCTCATATGACTAACTTATGTCACGTGTTTATCACAATTTACCACAATTTGTCTGTGCCACAGTGCGTTAATGAAAACTCCCCTAATTGATATATTCATTAGACTCCTATGACCTTGCGCATAAATTTAGTTTGGTGCATCTGTCTGTCTAAAAGATCAGGTCATCATTGAAGGAATTATAAATAATACCTCGTCAACTTCCTAACTAACTTTTCGCAAGCGTCAAGTTTTTAAGCTGATTTTTGTAGATGTCATTTCACTTCATTGTCTATCTAAAATTTCCGTCGAAAATTGAATTTAAATATATCCGGCTAGGATGTTAGCGTTATTATTGGTACCGAAGTTTCAAAAGTTAAAGGCAAATGCATCTTTCATGCGAAAATCTGCGGGTGATTTCTGAGTGCACATTTCTTAAAGACCATCAAAGCGTGTAGAAAAATCTGTTGTCTGAACTTGGTCTGACAGCATGTTAAGTTGTGTAATTGTTCACAGTAACTTGTCGTTAATGGATAAAAAAAGGAAATTTACGGGCCTTCATTACTACTCGTCATAACTTGATGACTATGATTCGTATGGTTGAAGGTCGCTTTTTTACCTAAAGGTTTACTTGAGAGCTAATGGTTGGTCGCACTGTACAATAAATTTACGATTCAGTAAGACGTCAGCTAAGATCGTTTCCATGCTTTAACCACTGAGTATAAAACTCCTGCTTAAAGAAATGTACACCTTAGTTTAGTTTCCTAATCATATTGTAGCTGACTGAAGGATGACCTATCAACACTCTAGTTGATTACTAAACTCAAAATAGGAGAGTTGAGTTCCGGTAGTGAAAAGATACTCGAAATATTCTACTTTATTGTGGTGATATAATGAAATTTGTTGTCCTTTCCAAATAACTATCAGAAACAGAATAACTGATTTCGTAAAGATCAGTTATGAACAGGTGTTGATGGGCATATATTCCATCCCAAGGTTTAAAATTTACCGTTGCTGTGACTGAAAACAAAGTAGTAGGTTTATGTGTAACATACCTGACTGATTTCAACATAAAACTTTGTACCGATGTGCAGCAGTTCGAGTTGCCACACTCTTTCCTTGTAGCACACAAAGCCAGAGAACAAAGTAAAAAGAAATGCAAAATAGAGACAGTAAACAGAGATATGAGGCAAAAAGAATGGTAATATCGATGAACAATATAGTTTTATTGGGTATTATAAGTCACAAGGAGTGGATGCATCTGACCAGCTATTGAGAAGGATGAGTTTGAGCCGTATCACCGATTGTCTCCAACCATTGGGTTTTACTATTCCGAAGACCCCAACCAGTCAGGGAGTGTACACCTACCTACGTGACTGGCTGGCTAGCCAAAACTAACTGTTGTAGATTTTATTGACTGATGGAGCCATGTTTTGGTTTGACCACCACTAGCTAGCTATTTTCCAACCTGATCCATCCTATGGCAGTCAGTTAACACATTCCATTGTCGATGGCTAGGCATGCGTAACACATGTCCTAACCATCTCAGTCGATGTAACTTCACTGCTTCGTGTTTTGATTTCTCCTGCTTACTTAGTACTCGACACCTAACCTCAATATTGCTCACCCTATTATATCACTTAACATGGGAGATAGACCGCAGACACTATGATGAAAGCCACCCTTTTCATGTCTTCCCCTTTCAATGGTCATGTCTCACAGCCGTAAAGGAGGACGGAACAAACTGCTGAACAGTACACATGCCCTTTCGACGAATAACAGTCAGTACGTAGTGCACACTGATTAATATGCTAGCAAATATAAGTACTATTACATTAAATTAACTATACAGTAGAACCTTATTCCTCGCCAGTACATTAAAAAAAAGATTTCTATCTGATCAATCACACCATTACTTTTTTATTGACTTCTCTAACCTTCCCTGATCTATTAGGTACTGTCCGTAAACCTATTAGATACATTAATCATTCAAGCTGTCTGTAAATTATTTTCAGGTATTGGGTTTGTAGGGACTTTGTTTGATTGGTTGGAAGATACCATCATGGGCTGACATCAGTTAGAGAACCATTGGAAGACAAGTCAGGGAGTACTGGACAGCTGTTTCGTCAGCCTAGTTTGGAACTCCGCTTCGGCAGTACGCACCCACGCCACGGGGTTCGAACCCGGGACCTTACGGTTACAAGGTAAGCCGGCTCGTAGACCATTAAGCCACTCACTGGGTCCCGATCCAATGGCCGGCCCATGAATTCTAACTTCTACCAATTCATAACATAGCGCGACTACTTCTCACTGTTTTCTTCTTCGATGAGTTACTGCCTCACCTTCAACCTGCTGTACTCTACTGGTCACGGTTTCCCACTAGAATCCCAGGTCACTGCCTAAATAGAGCCAGTCGCTAGTAAACATCAGATTAATTTTCAAGTATTGGTTTTGTAGGGATTTTGTTTGACTGCATGGAGGATTTCATCATGAGCTGACATCAGTTATAGAGCCATTATTTGTCTGTAGAGAACACCAGTTACATGCTGTCTAACTTAATAGTTACAAAATTGAGTCTACACTCAATCTTGGTAGTTCCAGTATCTAGATGCGGTTAAAAGTGTTGGTAAACAAATCAGAATGATATTTGCGAAAATCTTCCTACTGTTTGTATTGCTGCCAAGTTGATCTTCCCGATTGAATGAATCTTCATTATGCTTTATATAGTTATTCTTTCTCTTACACATTTTTGTTGTATTGTACACAACGAAAACCTGAAATTACTGCACATTTGCGCAAATTTCTGCTTTGAAAATCTAGCCGGTCAGATGTCAATAAGGATAAAAATAATGTAGTTTAGCTGAACTTTTCACTCTTCTAGTAAGAGTTTTAACTAATTTATAACGATTCAAGTAATATAGGTTGCTATAAGAATAAAACTTGTGCACTGTGGTAAATTATAATTCCATTATGGGTAAAATTTGTTTTGATAAAGTCTCACAGTGATGTACAGTAATGTTTACTGAGCAATAAATTGTGCCGAAACGTCATCAGTAAACATTACTGTATAATATTGTGAGACTTTATCAAAACAAATTTTACCCATAATGGAATATAGATTACTGTTTGTTTACAATCCAACTGGCTGTAGTTCAGACAGATAATCCTAAATGAGTTGTTCACCGGGATAAGAACTTAGACACTATGCCTCTCCCTACGCAATAAAAAGTCAACAGACACTGACTTCATAAATTGATACCACATTTGGGTTTGACCACTCCTAACTCTCTTCCAGTATAATCCGATATCTGACTGACTGACTGGTTTCAACGTAGAACTTTGCGCGGATGTGCAGCAATTCGAGTTGCCAGACTTTACTTAGCACACAAAGCAAGAGAAGAAGGTAACAAAGAGATTCAAAACAGCGATAATAAATAGAAATATGAGGCAAAACAGAATACTAATATGGAAGAATAATACAGTTTTATTGGAAATCATAAGTTACAAGGAGTGGATGCATCTGCACCAGCCATTGGGAACGATGAGTTTGAGCCATATCACCAATTGTCTCCAACCACCATTGGTTCTTATAATGCAAAGGACCCCAACCAGCCAGTGAGGAAGTCTATACCTTTCTACGTGGCTGGCTGGTTGGCTAGCGAAAACTAACTGTTGTGGATTTCATTGATTGATGAAGCTTTGTTTTGGTTTGACCACCACTGGCTCAGATATCAGTTATTCGATATCAGCTAACTCTGCTATCGCAAGGAAGGCGATAGCTTGATCTGCGTAACATGTGTCCTAGCCAATTCACTTGTTACAACTTCACAACGTTATCGATTGATTATTCCTCGTTATCTAGCAATATTCACCACCACATTACACCATCCAAGCAGGAGAGAGAGCTTTCGATTCGAGTACCTTGATTAAGAAACTGTTGACCACTCTATAGGACCTAGCTGGATATATGCACTCAAAAAAATTCACTTAGAACAACGAATCTTCATTATTATCTGAAAACAGTGCATGGGAGTTTTCTAAGGTGTAATGCTTATTCAGCTGTAGTACAAATGGGGTATCTCAGATCAAAAATGGTTAGATGATGGTGATATTTTTTAAATGGGACTTTCTTAAATCTTCGGGATATGGTTATGGCTTAAAATAGCCCTTAATTTTGCTGGACTTGTGTAAATTTAATAGGGATAGCCAATGGAGTTGAAGTGAAAAAATCTTTTTTTTTTAAAATTCTTATGCTGGACATGCCAAGATGAAATGATCAGCGCAGAAACTTAACGGTAATCGAATCGCTATATGCTATTGCTTTATGATACTGTTAAGTGTGGATGTAGCGAAGCAAGATGAGGAAGACGATGTGAGTAAAGGAGAATGATGCTCAGGAAGGCTTTGTGTGCTTTTGGAAGTGTGTATGGGCGGTTGTTACTTCCTGGCTGCCCACACCACTGTGGAAGTTGATTGATTCTTCGGGTACCTGAAACAGAAAGAGGGTTAGTGTTGCGTAACTGCAAAGCCCAGGGGAAAACTGCTTGAGACCGGTTACACACGGCCTGTATGAACTGGTTTCTAGGATTGGTTCCGTAATAGTAAACTTACCGCCGGTCACGGACCACCACAGGTGGGGTAGGTCGGGATGTACAATTGTTGGGGTCAACCTTTTCTAACCCACTCCCTCTCTCCAGAGTGGAGAGACAGCATAGCTGGCTGGCTGGCATGCTGGTCATCTGAGGGAAACACCTCACTGCTGTTACACCCCTGTTTCCCAGCAGTACGACTTCACCCTCAGACCCCCAGCATAGTGTAGGAAAGATTCTTACACAATGCCGGTAACTGCTTTTAGTCTAATCGCTATCCCAACAACCTTCCTGGCATGGTTGGACCTGCAGGAACATTCGTTCCAGCCAGTGCAGCTTGTTGGGTCATTGAGATGTGCAAGCCCGACCACCACGTCAAGGTAGCAGCTATCGGTCGGGTGTAAGTTGTGTAGAAATATGTAGTGCAAAAACTGAAGTTGTCACTTATCCCGACTCCTAACAGACCTGCGAAACATATTTTTATGTTTAATTTTTTAAATATTCCATCTCTTTAATCTTACTGCTGGTGTTTTGAAGTATAACCATTTGATAAAAGAGGATGGATAATGATCAGTAAAGCTTTATGTGCTTATGTAAGTGTATGACTGGTTGTCGCTTCCCGGTTGTCCACAGTGAAAGGCGATTTCTTTTTGAAGTACATGAAATAGAAGGAACATTAGCGTTTTGTGACCGTGGAACCCAAGCGGACAACTGCTTAAGGTCCGTTACACACAGCCTATTTAAAGTGTTTTTTAGAGTTGCGTCTGTATGAAGACACTGTGAGGTTAAACAGGGTTGCCGAATCTCTCAATTCCTCTTTAATTTTGCCATCGATGACATTCTGGAGTCAGCTCTGAAGGATGTGCATGAAGGTGGTGTAGATCTGCTACCTGAAGATAGACTTTTTGACCTCTAGTATGCAGACGATATCGTCTTACTGTGCGATAGCATGCAGGCTACCCAAATCGCACTTAATCAGTCGGTGATCAGTGTCTGTAAGTATGGCATGTACTTTGCGCCGTCTATGTGCAAATTACTGTTACAAGATTGGCTGGAGCCTGTACCTGCACTCACTCTTGCGGGTTGATAAGTTTGTGTATCTGGGTAGTTGTGTGAGTGCTGGCGGAGGGGTGACGAATGAGATTCCCGGCCGTATGATAAAGGCTAGGGTGGCATACATCGACTTCAGCCACCTCTGGCGCCATCGCGACGTTAGCCCGGCTGTCAAAGGTTGGGTATACAGTGCTTCGGTGCGAGCTGTCTTGTTCTACGCCTGTGAAACCTGGCCTCTCCGAGTAGGCTGAGGATGTGCGGCGACTCTGCTTCCACTACCGAATACTGAAATATTATTCATTATTAGTGTTTATCTTCGTTTCTACTTGGTATTTTTATTTGTATTTTTTGTTATTTTTGTGTTTCTTTTTGTTTTTTTTTTATATTTATTTTTTTGTAATACTCCTTTTAAATGTGCGATGAAATAAGATGCAATATTGTAGATATGTGCTGAAAATTCCACACTGTACCACTAGTACTGTTTCTGGAATAAAAGCGAAATTATTATTATCATTGCTGTCTCCACAGGAGTGCTTGCATTCGATGGCACCATCGCGTGAGTAATTCTGAGGTTCGGCGGCGTGTGTTTGAGCACAGTGGAGATCACCATTCATTGAGTGTCGTCATCTGGAAACACCGGCTCCGGTGGCTTGGACATGTGCTGCGAATGTCACCCTAGAGGCTCCCGTACAGGTCTCTGTTTGCTAGCCCTGGGACGGATGGAAAAGGCGGAGAGGTGGTCAGTCTATGACACGGCGTCGTAGGTAGAAGGATGTTTGCGCCAGATTAGCATCGGTTGGTGCGTCACGACTCCCTGGTTGGAGTCCACGAAATAGCTCGAATCGATGGCTTGAAACGTTATCGGATATGGCCAAGAATCGTAATCAATGGCGAACGTGTTGCAATTTCCTTCTTTCTTCCCTTCTTGATGATAGTTAACGAATACTGTTTTCCTTCCAGATGAAGTTCTTTATTCGTTTTCTACTTATATTTTTTTACTTTTGATCTGTGTTGTTTTATTATTATTGTGTGACGCATCTTTCTTGGTGCCATATTGTACTAAGTTTTTTTCTACGTTTAAATAAATAAATAAAATGAAGATCATACCGTCATGGGGTAAGTTGGGATGTACAACTTGTCGTCAGGTCAATACTTTCTAACCTACCTGCTCTTTCTCTGAGAGGCAGTTGGTTGTCCGATAGAAACATCCCAGTGCCCTATTACATCCCGATTCTCCAGCAGTACAACCCGATACCTAGTGTAAGCGATTTACACTATGCTGGTAACCCTTTTTCTTGGCTTAAGCTCCATCCAAACAACCTTTATGGTATGATATAACCTCGTGAAACTGCCTATTCCATCCAGTATAGCCCTTTGGGTCTGTACGATATATGCAAAGTCGATTACCACGTATGTGAAGATAGCGGCTATCGCTCAGGATTTTACAGGGTCTATATTGTCTTCCTGTTGTCTGTCTGTCTGTTTTCGACATAGAACTTTGCACCAATGTGCACCAGTTCAAGTCGCCACACTCTCTCCATGTAGGACACTAAGCAAGCGAAGAAAGAAGAAATGCATAATAGTCAGTCAACAGCTGTGTGAGACAAAGGAATAGTAATAACGAAGAACAGTATAGTTTCATTTGAAATCTTAAGTCACGAGGAGTGGATGCATCTACACCAGCCATTGAGAACGATTTCGATCCATATCAACAATTGTTTCCAACCATTGGTTTTTACCATCCCGATGACCCCAACCAGTCAGAAAGTCTACACCTCCCTACATAATTAGCTTAAATTAACTGTTGTGGATTTCATTGATTGATGAAGCCATGTTTTGGTTTGAACACCACTAGCTCTTTTCTAGTTTGACTCTATGTCAGCTGACATTGCCCATCTGTCGAGGAAGGCGATGACTAGGCATGCATAACACGTGTCCTAACCATCTCAGTCGATGTAACTTCACAGCGTTGGCAGGGTGGTCCAGTCCTGTAACATCATCTTACATTTGGTGGGAGCGAATTGCATGCCAAATATTCGTAGACTGCAGCTTAAGTTGTTAAAAAAAATCTACATTTTGTCAGCGTCCTCGCCTAGAAGGACTATATCATCTCCATATTCTAAGTCAACAAGATTATTCCCTGTTGGTAGCAAGTCAAACCCTGAGTCGCTGAAATGAGTTAAAGTTAAGTCCATTAGTACATCTATGATGAAATTGAATAGAAATGGGGATAATGGGCATCCCTGACAGACACTGTTACACTAGTTGTCACCAGTTAAGATAACAACTCGCCGTAACCTCTCATCTGGCTGACTGCATGAGTTCGAGTAGAGTGTCTTGATCAGTGCAATGTATTTTCTCGGCATTCCCTTTACAACCAAGCATAGCTGTATATATTGTTTTGTGTATATTATGTGACACCCATGCTAGTGCATCTAAAGTGAATTATTTCCCTTCCATTTTGTGCTTATGTCTTGATAATTGTCACATTAATATATTGCCGTATTTTCGTTGTTGTTGTTATTTCTTCATATTATTGTACTTTATTTCAATATCCAATTTCCTTTTAGCACGAACTCTAAAAATGCGTGGACAAGCTTTTGTTGTTTTCGATGATGTCAATAGCGCGTCAACAGCACTTAGAGCTATGCAAGGCTTTCCGTTATACGAGAAACCAATGCGAATTCATTTTGCTAAAGTGGATTCTGATGTCATCGCCAAGCGGAAGGGTACATTTGTCCAGCGACCGAAAGCTGCGTCAAGAGCAGCGGCAGCTGCGGCTGCGGCCGCCGCGGCAGAAGCTGCAGCATCAGCTGCTGCCATTAATTCCGCTGGTCCTCAAGGTGGTACCAGTGCCAGAGCCATCCGTAGGCGGCAACAAAGAGCAGCCGCCGCGGCAGCAGCAGCAGCAGCCACTGCGACAGCCAACGGTGGTGATGCCAGCAATGATACTCAGACGAATGTCGGTGGTGATCAGCAGAACAATGAATATCGGCCGGTTCCACCGCCTCCGCCGCCACCACCACCACCGGCTGCTATAAATCCAGCCACCATACCAGATCAACCACCGAATAAAATTCTCTTCCTGACTAATCTACCAGATGACTCTGATGAAGCCATGTTGAGTATGCTATTCGGTCAATTCACTGGTTATCGTGAGGTACGTATGGTCCCAGGGCGACATGATATCGCATTTGTTGAATTTGGCAATGAAGTGGAAGCGTCCGCAGCAAAGCTTGGTCTTCAAGGTTTCAATATTCGACCGGGTAAACCTATACGCATTACATTTGCTAAAAAATGAAGAGTTCACAGTCATTTCTCTCTGTGTGTGTTTGTGCGTGACATTCAACTATTGAAATTTTATTATTTTATACATGTACATGTTTCGAGTTGAATAATAATAACAATAATAATAATAGAATTGAAAACCCGTCCGGTCCTTTATGACTTTTGTTTTGCATAAATATCTTATACTTTGATGTTGATTGAATTGTATGACTGTTGGGAATGACTGTTTATTTTGTTGTTGTTGTTCTACTTATCCTTTCTTGGGCTGTGAATTGTTTTCTCTCTCTCGTATCTAGTTTGTGATGCTGCTCTCAGCGAGTATTTGTCCTCACTGCCGACCAGGAGTGGACTCTACTGGTCACGACCTCTCAGTAGAACTCTAGGGAACTTCGCCCTGTAACCAGCCACTGGCGGGTTCGAACCCGGTTGATGGGTGCGCACTACCGATGAGTCCCCAGCTGGGACGAAACAGCTATGCAGTACTATGCTGCTGGTTTTCAATGGTTTTGTCTCTGACTTGTATCAGTCCGTTGCTAAACGGATCCCTACTCTGGCTACCTAGTCAGAAATTGGGTGGTTATTTGAAGTGATTCGGCTCTTTGAGTTAAAACGATGTACACCGCTGATAAGCGAACCGACCTTCCTAGTGTTTAGATCACTTCTGTCTGGCTAGCCAATAAGCATTACTGGTTGATGTGAATGATGGTGCCCTACTACTTATGTCAATCAATTAGTAGTATATATGGCGTCATGGACACTATTGTATTATTATTATGGTTTCCTTTAATTCCTAGAGGAACATAGGGCTTCAGGTGCATGTCTCCATTGCTTTCGGTTCTATGCTAGAGTTTTCACCTGGCTCCACGTGTGCCCATATGCTTTCATCTCCTCTTCACATCACCTCCTCCAAGTCACGCTTGGACGACCAACTCGCCGCCTCCCTTTCGGGTTCCACTCGGGGGCTTGTCTAGTGATGTCACTTGATGATTTCCTCAGAGTTTGGCCACTCCACCCCCATTTCTTCCTGTATATTTGCTGCACAATCGGTTCCTGCTGGGTTGATTCGCTCCCACAGATCCTTCCCTGTTGCTGATGTTTTCTGACCAGCCATCTGATCTTGAGTGTTGAGCGAAGACAACTAGCTGTTGATGAAGGTTATAGTTTGTTTTAGGTGCTCTTTATGACGCACTGGCCAAGTCTCTGATCCGTTTATTAGCACTGACTAACTTCACATTGGAGTTGAAAATCCGGTTCTTATTTTTGATGGTGAGTGCTGTTGACCTCCACACAGACCTGAGAGTAATGAAAGCTTGTCTTGCTTTTCCAATCCTTGCTTTGATATCCTCGTCAGTTCTGTCCGCCTGTAGTTGAAACGATGCTTCCCATGTGAGGTAGGTAAAGGAGGTTGTTTCTTTCAGGTTCCTCCCATTTATGCCGGCTGATTGTTGTCTGTTGTTGTTGTGGTTGCTGTTGGTGTTGCCCAGGAATCTTCATCACTGTCATGGACATAACCATCACTAATAAATACTTAAGATTATGAAATCCTGAGATCTAAGTTCTCTCAATAAGCTGTCGTTTAAAAGTCTTCCTAAACTTCTGTTGAAGCATAGTGTTTTGTTTATGGTCTGATAATTAGGCATACGAATCAGTCCCTACAGAAGGATTATTGTAATTCCATATTAGTTTGTCTATTAAATGTATCACACACTGAATGAAACAGTATTATTTACTGGATGACACAGTTTCAAACAAAACTTATTTTTCATAATCGTTTCATCAATTATAATCACATGACTTTGAAATTTGAGTTTTATAGTTTTCTTTGTTCCCCTCTATTTGTCGTCGTAAGGGTAGTAAATATATGGAATAGGTGTTGAGCGTTTCAATCGCTATGTTTTCCCACCTATCCATTAATACATTTGCCACAATATATCAGCCCCACTCAAAAAGTATGATGGAACTATGTAGTTGACACATTCACTGTACTTAAAACACAGGATACAGATAGATTTTTCAAACATATTAACACAAAGGTGGCGGCAATTCAATTCACTTATGAATTGGAAAGTCAGAAAGGAAGGAAGGGGAGCTTCCAATGTTAGATTGCAACGTAAAAAGGAAAGAAGATGGGAAGTTAAACACACTAGTGTGTTTACAGGAAACCCACTGAGGCATTCAAGCAGATATTCGGACTTCCGACCATCCCATCCTATGTCAGTAAAAATAGGATTGGCGAAATATTGAAATAAGAGAGCACAAAAATTAAGTAGTACCAAGGAAAATCTAAGACAGAAAGAGAAGCTTTGAAACTTAATAATTACCCTGATAAATTGGTCAGAAAGTATGTAGGAAAATGTAAAAATAAAATAAATAATGATAGTAGTGGTAATAATAGTTTTTATGAAGACATGCATGTCAAACATGCGCAAGACAGCAGCAACAACAAGGAATCTAAATCATCAGTAGTAATTCCATACAAGGAAGGAACCTCGTAAACCATACGCAGAATTCTTAACAATATAGGGAAGAATAAAAGTGGCATTCAAACCAACCCACAAACTCAATTAGAAACAAGCTTTGTTAGTTAAAGGATCCTGCCAGTAGAGCCAATAAAACAAAACAATTTAGTTTATCTAATACCCTGCTGGAGTGACTGTCAGGTCAAACTAGTAGTAGTGGCATAAAATTCTAGCAAAATCTAGATTGGTTGACCCGAATAAAATAAAAAATCTAGAGAATAGTTCAGCATTACATGCAGTTACACACAACCATACAACGGGATGAGATGGGATAAGATGACAGTTTTAAGATCTAATGTAACAGGGTGAATCTAGGGAGAGATTGATAACGGAAGCTTTGTTTATCGAATCAACTGACAGTGAATACGTGTAATAGGAATGATTCAACACCTGTCCATCCATACATCTGGAAAATTCCACAACCCCTATGACGACAAATAGGAGAGAACAAAGAAAACTATAACACTCAAGTTTCAAAGTCGTGTGATTACAATTGATGATATGATTATGAACAATAATAGATTGTGCTCGAAACTGTGTCATCCAGTAAATAATAATACTGTTATACACTCACTGACTGTGATACATCTAATAAACAAACTAATATGAAATTACTTACTACCACAGTGCCCTCTAGTTTTACACATATATTCGAATGATTATTGCGACAGTGTAGATTGTGGTATGTGACAAAGTAATTTAAGATGTTTCTCTTTATATACACATAGAGACAGAGCGAAGTACATACTGTGCCTACAGACTGTTTTTTTCTGCTCAAACTGACTTGTATTAGTAAGATGATGCCGTTTATAAAAGTAGCTTAAACAGGCTGAAAGAAGTTTATTGCTAGTATTAAGATATTTTGGGGGTAATGCTTCGAAAAGTTCCACCCAATATTCTAGTTGGCTTATTGCAAAGACAGTCTTTCTGACTTCGTGCTGGTGTTAGCTACGGCAAGGTAGGAGACTCTCTACTGCCTTTCATGCCACTTAGTTTTCTCTCATGAACATTGTGTAGTTTTCTATGCATGTCATAGAACTCCTAGTTGTCTGGGATAGCTTGACAAGCAACAAAATATTGTACGGAGTTGAATGGACACTTAGTATTTACAAACTATTGTATTTAACCAATCCTCAATTGATCAATATGTTACCTACATTAGTCTACCATGAAGACCAGTGGTGAGATTCTGCTAAGTTGAATGTGATGCAGGTAGATGGCTTTCCTGTGTGACACACATTGGTTGACGATGACGCTGTATCGTGGATACTACTGACTCAATGAATAGAGCTGTATGTTGTTCGCCTCTTCATCTTAGCGTCTTACATGCATTCTCTGCTGTGAAGAGACAGACTTGAGTGTCCACCTCTTCTGAAGAGTCCTAGTCTAGGACGAAATAACTAACCAAATGCTTCTCTAAATGATTTCGCTTCATGACGAAATCGACTCTTTGAAATCAATGTGTAATCTGCAAATTCAAAGCTTAAAAAGGTAGTTAGTAATGAGGATTGCTTATAATAATATTGATGGGCATGTTGATTTTTAACCTAGGAGAAACATTTGACGTCATCTTACGATTATGTCTAAATTTGTAGAGAATTTCAAGCAAATATGTCGTGTTATTTAATTCAATTTGAACTTTCCCGTTGATTGATTAGACCGAAGTGCTCGGCTTCAGGTTGACATGTTAACTCCTTGTGCAGATGCTTCGATGATGTCCGATTGTTTACCTTGAAGTCTATTGGTGGAATCCAAGGTGCACATCTCCTCCTCTCTGGGCTAACTCTCCAGCTAGGGGGATGTACCTGCGTTCCCCAATGAGTGATGGTGCTTTCACTGAGGCTGAAACCCAGTATTCATGGTTCCAGACCATTTGGGTCATGAGAGCCACCTCTTGTGCATTGGATATGAGTTATTGCTTAGTTCGATCTGGATTTTGCTGTTGATTGGTTGGACTGTGAAGTGCTTGGCTATATGACGAGTTCGAAATGCACATCCTGGATTCCACTATCGCTAGTCATCATTCACGAATTTACTTCAGTTATGTCGTGTTATTAAAAAAATCTTTACTCAAAATTATGTGTCTCGTAGCTGGGCGTGGTGGTGTGCGCCTGTAATATGACTACTTGGAAGCCGGGGTGCGGAATTTCGTGTGACCGGGAGTTCTGGATTATATATGGGTGCTCATGTTGAACGGGCGTCCACTCTAAACACGACTTCGAAACTTGAGTTTTATAGTTTTCTTTGTTCTCTTCTATTTGTCGCCGGGGTAGTAGAATTGTCCAGATATCTGGTTGGACAGGTGTTGAATCATTCCTATTACACGTGTTGATTTGCAGTTGATTCGATAAACAAAGCTTCAGTTGTAATCAATCTCTCCCTCCCTCCATCCTGTGACTTTAGATTCTGAAACTGTCATCTTACCCCATCTTATCACTACTATTATTATTTATTTTATTTTTACATTTCCCCACATACTTTCTGACTAATTTATCAGAATAATTATTAAGTTTCAAAGCTTCTTCTACATGCCTCATTTCCTGTCGTAGATTTTCCTTGGTACTACTTAGTTTTTGTGCTCACTTACTTAAACATTTCGCCAATCCTATTTTCACTGACATGGATAGGGTGGGATGATCGGAAGTCCAAATATCTGTTTGAATGCGTCAGTGGGTTTCCTGTAAACACACTAGTGTGTTTAACTTCCCATCTTCTTTCCTTTTTACGCTACATTCTAACATTGGAAGCTCCCCTTCCTTCCTTCCTGACTTTCCAATTCATAAGTGAATTGAATTGCCTCCACCTTTCAGTCAATCTGTTCGAAAAATCTATCTATATAATGTGTTTTAAGTACAGTGAATGTATCATCTACATACCTCCACCTTCAGCGCAGGAATAAAAGCGGCTGGCATTCAAACCTACAAACTCAATTAGAAACAAGCTTTGTCGGTTAAAGGATCCTGCCAGTGGAGCCAATAAAACAAAACATTTTAGTTTATCTAATACCCTGCTTGAATGACAGTCAGGTGAAATACATAGGTCAAAGTAGTAGAACAGGGCAGTCAGACTAGCTCAGTGGCATAAAAACCTAGCAGCAAAATCTAGATTAATTGACCCGAATAAGATGAGAAATCTGGAGAATAGTTCAGCTATAGCACTACACTACTTGCAATTACACACAACCATACAACGGGATGAGATGGGATAAGATGACAGTTTTAAAATCTAGTGTCACAGGGTGGAGGGATAGTTTGATAACGGAAGCTTTGTTTATCGAATCAACTGCAAATCAACACGTGTAATAGGAATGATTCAACACCTGTCCGCCTGGATATCTGGAAAATTCTGCCACTCCCACGAAGACGAATAGAAGAGAACAAAGAAAACTATAAAACTCAGGTTTCGAAGTTGTGTGTTTATAACTGATGAAATTGATGACGATGTGATTATGAACAGTAATAAATCGTGTTCGAAACTTTGTCATCCAGTAAATAATACTGTTACACTCGCTGTGTGATATATCTAATAAAAAACTAATATTGAATCGCTGTTGTAGATGCTTTTCGTAACGTTCGCCAAGTCTTTTAACCGTGTAGAAACATTAACTGATTTGACATTAATGTTGGAAATTCAAATCTTATTCTTTATGCCTATTACAGTGGATTTACAGACTGATTTCAGAGCGTCATAGGTGTGATCGACCCTTCTGATCCTGACTGGCTGTTGTCGTCTTTATCTCCGGGCTTCCGGCCAACTTGTAGTTGGAATGATGCTATGTAGATAATGGGAGGAGGCATATCCTCTTATAACAGGTGGTGATATTAGATACATTTAAGCTCCTAACGGTAGTTGTCTACGTAGCATTTCTCGTGCGTGTTTGTCTGGCTGTCTGTTTTCAACATAGAACTTTGCACAGATGTGCAGGAGTTCAAATCACCACTCTCCAACCATGTAGCACATAAACCAAGAGAAGAAAGTAAAAGAAATGCATAATAGAGAGACAGTAAACAGAGGTGTGAGACAAAGGAATAGTAATAACGAAGAACAGTATAGTCTCGTTGGGTATTATAAGTCACGAGGAGTGGATGCATCTGCAGCAGCCATTGAGAACAACGAGTTTGAGCTATGTCACCAAATGTCTCCAGCTATTGGTGTTTACCGTCCCGAGGACCCCAACCAGTCAGAAAGTCTACACCTCCCTATGTGACCGGCTAGCTTAAACTAAGTGTTGTGGATTTCATTGACTGATGTCTCCATGTTTTAGTTTGACCGCCACTGACCCTTTTCCAACCCGATCTATTCATTGTCAGCTAACATTGCCGATTGTCGAGAAAGGCGATCGATTGCTAAGCATGCATGTGTAACACATGTCCTAACCATCTCAGTCGATGTAACTTCACAGCCTCGTCGATTGATTTCCCCTCCTTACCTAGCACTTGACCAATGCCTAACCTCAATATTGCTCACCTACCTTATTATACCACCACTTCACACGGGAGATAGAACACAGGCACCTATGATCAAAGACAGCTAACCGGATATCACGTCTACAGCAGAGACGGCGTAAACTGGCATATGCAAAACGGCCTTCTGTATTCGTGCTGAGATTTTGTCAGCGATCAACCCGTTGACGTTGGCTGATGTAACTTTCCACCCAAATAAGTGAAGTGGTCAACACGCTCGATCAACCATTTCGCTCCCTATTCATAAGTTTCTCATTTATGTGTGTGTGTGTGTGCGTTGATTGTCAATGTTATTATCTTTCTCTTATCAGTTAATGAAGTTGAATGCTTTCATACATACATCTTCTTTTCCTCATTGTCATATAGATTGACTGTTGTTATTATCATCACCATCATCATCAGTTTTAATATGGATATTCGTCCAAATCATACACTCTATGTGAATAATTTAAATGATAAAGTCAAAAAGAATGATCTGAAACGAGCCTTGTATTATATATTTGGTCAACATGGTCGACTCATTGATATTATTGCTATGAAAACAATGAAAATGCGTGGTCAAGCGTTTATTATTTATCAAGAGATAACATGTGCAACACAAGCCTATCGTTCATTACAAGGATTCCAGTTGTTTCAACGGGTAAGTTGTGTGTTGTCGTTTTTCTTTTTGAAATTCCAGTAGCAATGGGATCATTCCCTTTTAAGAGGTGACTGACTGATTTCAGCACAGAACTTTGCACTGATGTGCACCAGTTCGAGTCACCACACTCCCTCCATGTAGCACACAAACCAAGAGAAGAAAGTAGAAGAAATGCATAATAGAGAGACAGTAAACAGAGGTGTGAGACAAAGGAATAGTAATAACAAAGAACAATATAGTTTCACTGGAAATCATAAGTCACGAGGAGTGGATGCATCTGTACACCAATTGTCTCCAGCCTTCATTACTTCTTACCAACCTGAGTACCCCCAACCAGTGAGGAAGTCTACACCTTCCTACGTGGTTGGCTGGTGGCTAACTTAAACTAAGTGTTGTGGATTTCATTGACTGATGATGAACTCGTGTTTTGGTATGACCACCATTAGCTGGCTCTTTTCCAACCTGATCAGTCTTATGTCAGCTGACATTGCCCGTCTGTCGAGGAAGGCGATGTCTAGGTATGCGTAGCACATGTCCTAACCATTTCAGTCGATGTAACTTCAGGTTGCTAGCATTGCTCCCAATAATGAAGTTGCATCGACTGAAATGGTTAGGACATGTGCTACGCATACCTAGACATCGCCTTCCTCGACAGACGGGCAATGTCAGCTGACATAAGACTGATCAGGTTGGAAAAGAGCCAGCTAATGGTGGTCATACCAAAACACGAGTTCATCATCAGTCAATGAAATCCACAACACTTAGTTTAAGCTAGCCACCAGCCAACCACGTAGGAAGGTGTAGACTTCCTCACTGGTTGGGGTCCTCGGGACGGTAAACACCAATCGCCTAGAGACAATTGGTGATATGGCTCAAACTCATCTTTCTGAATGACTGGTGCAGAAGCTCTCCACTTCACCACTGGGCTCGTTCCTGACTAACCAAGTTGGAGGAGTGATTCAGTCAAGGATTAAATCTTGGACCACGTGGATGGTGGTTGGCGAGCATTCTTTTTTTTTTTTAAGTAATAGCTTTATTCTGAACAGTGTGAATATACAGTGTAGAGAATATTCAGCAGAGTTCATTGCATGATATTTTCTCTTTGTCCAGGATCTTCAAATAAGTAAATAATGGACAGTAAATCGTTTGATACAGTTCTGTTTGACCTGAAGAGCAAATCAATCCATTACGCTATCTCTAATTCTCCTCCTTCGAAAAATACACGATGGAATTTTGTTGAATACCAATTATAAAAAGTTGAGGAGTTCGTTTTTTGAACCAAGGACCCCCTTTCTAACTGAGTAACGGTCATCTCATGTATTGGGATAAACTTGCTATCGAGGAAATTGGCTTTTTCTCATGTTCACTAGACACTTGCGAATCACCAGGTTGTAAATGCTTGAAATACTTGCTAAAGTAAAAACAAAATTCTATTAGAGGTTATACTTCAGTGGATTTTAACAAAATGGAAAAACAGAAAATATAAACAATTCACTGAAGGAGGTTTTCGGTAGCTTAGATTTCAAACAACTCCGCCGTTCCACCCATGCATACAGCCGTGTTCATTAGGTTAAATAGTTATGATTTGAATATAATGTCTTCAGTGGGAAACGAGAAGACAGGAACATCCTGGACCGACCGACGTGAAGAACCTAGAAGACCTGGACTTCGCGTGTGGATGATTTATGCTTGATGTCACTGTCACAAAATCGAAGACTTACAAGCGAGAACCGACAAACTGGTCGAAGAAGCAGCCGGCGAAGACAGGACTCCAAGTGAACATAGACAATACGGAGGTGATGAAAATAGCCAGCCGACAACAATAGCAGCAACATCCAGCGTCAATCACCATCAACTGGGGGATTTGAAAGAGGTCACTTCATTCACTTATCTAGGGAGCATTGTCTCAACTACAGACAGTCGGAACGGACGACGATGTCAAATCGAGCGAGAATCGGGAAGGCGAGCGAGAAACACATTCATCAACCTGAAACAACCAATCTGGAAATCTTCGTCACTCAGCATCAACAAAATTCAGTTGGATTTTCAATACAAACATCAAGTAGGTCAGTTCTTCTATACGGATCAGAAACTTGGAGGTCACAAAGAACATTTCCAACAACCTGTTGCAGACCAGACTTTTATCAACAACTGTCTTCTCTGGCTCTATACTTAAGATCAGATGGCCGGGCCTAAAAGAATCACCACCGGCAAGAGACTTTGGGAACAAACAAAAAAAGAACCAATCGCCAACCAACAAATATGCAGGAGAAAGTGGAGATGGATTGTACACTCGCTGAGGAGACCGCTGGGTGACATCGCGCGTCAAGCCCTCGAGTGGAACCCGAAAGGGAAGTGGCGAGTGGGACGTCCAAGTGTGACATGGAGAAGATCGTGTGAAGAGGAGTTGAAAGAGTATGGACTAACTAACATAGGTGCAGGTGAAAAGTACAGCAGAAGAAAGACAGAAGCAAGTGGAGACGTGCAGTTGAAGCCCTATGTTCCACTAGGAACCCAAGGGAGCAATAATAATACATAATAATAATAATTGTTAGGTCAATTTGGTGTGGGGGGGGTGGCGCTATGTTAGCTTAATTGCTTCTTGAGATATTCCATTTACCGGTAGACTAATCCTAATCCTTCACTTCAGCTATTATCGTTGTGTTCTTTATGCTGTAAACTTGCAACTACTTATTATTAGTAAGTAGTGTACTTCATATTGCGTTCAATATTACTATATAACACCATTGTGTGACAGTTTATCAAAATAAAATCTTATCCATAATGGAGTTATACCCTACCACCACAGTGACCAAGTTTTATACTTATATCAATAATATAATAATTATAATGAATCCCTTTCCCACTATTATTTGCCTGTTTTATATTACTCAATCTCTAAATTTCCTTTTGTTTCTTCCTCCCTATTATGTTATGTATCTCTACGCATATATGTATATGTATATATACACGAAAGCCTATGCGAGTAACCTATGCCAAGAAAGATTCCCAACAGATTATCAGTTTGAAAGGTGTCAGCGCTGAAGTACAAAAGAGACGTGAAGAAGAACGTGAGAAACGCAAGCGAAAGAAAATGGCACAACGTGCTGCTGCTGCGGCTGCAGCTTTACAAGCAGCTAATCAATCGGTAAATGGACCGGTAGGTGGATTGTATCATTTAATAATACTAATTTTTAAATATTCCCATTATTAATAATATTAGAACAAGACATATAATAAGCGAACAAAATTGTTGTTTTCAATTAGATCTTCTTCAAGCTTTACTCTAATTTCATAGACTTATATGTAAAACAGAATTTAACCAACGACGGTAATTTTGTGGATAAAATAATAATAATAATAATGTGGATCAGGTCCCAGTGGCTTAATGGTATATGAGCTCGCCTTGTAACCGGTAGGTCCTGGGTTCGAATCCCGGTGGGTGCGTACTGCTGAAGGGTCCCAAACTAGGGACGAAACAGCTAACCAGTACTCCCAGGTTTTCTAATGGTTCTCTGACTAATGTCAGCTCATGATAAAATCCTGAAATGTGTTAAATGTTTTGAACGCAGTTAATAACGATGATTATAATGATAACAAATTAATGACAATAAGGTTTATGTAGGTGACGATAAGAATAGCAAAGGTAGTGAGTGATATGTGCATATATAGACAATTCAATAAATAATTTAATAATTCCCATTGTAGCATTAAGAACACAATTTTCAGCGAAGAGACTCTTTTCAACGAATTTATTATCAAGCTGTACAATCGTATATATATGGTTTTATAAAGAAATTATATCCGGTGAGGGAATTAGGTCAAAGGTGTAAATACATGAAATAATAATAGTATGAAATAAATTTAAAATATTTGTGATTAGGTTCATAGTTTAAGTCAAGTGGAACAATAATTAATGTCATATATAAGATAATACATCAGGTGTATAGATTTTGGGGAGAGGCATATAATTGTAAGATTAATAGACGAATGTAAAATGTTACGTAACATGGTGTGAAATTTGATAACATAGAATTTAATATTGTAAAAATAAAGATAAAAAGTATACACATGAATAATTTTTGGTTTAAAATGTCAAGTAGATCAAGTGGAAAAGATTCAGAATGAGAGTCGTAATAATAATAATAATGATAATAATAATAATAATCGAAGTAATAAGGGAAAAGTACATAAAATAATAAAATAAATAAATGTCTATCCCTCTACGGCCAAGGCAGCAGTAGGGATTGTACATACTTCTTTTGTACACAAAGGTCTGGCTTAAAGTCATGAATTGCCAAGGCCTCAGCTGTCTTTAGAAGTCTGTAACGAAGAAAACGCGGGAAGTTGGCATGAATTCTGTATAAGACCTTGAAATCATGGTCAGGGTTGACCGAGTGACAGGAGTCGATGAGGTGTTCTAAGATAGAGCTTCGCACACATTTCCTTTCTCCTTTGTAAAACCAAGCTGGAATATGTTCTCGTATCCGTGTGGAGAGCATTCTCTGACTACGGCCAATGTACCTTGCTCCACAAGAGCAGGTGAACTGGTAGATGCACATGGAGGCGGTCAGACGGGGGAGCTTATCTTTTACAGAGGTAGAGAACAGTTTGCGGCTCGTGAACGTCATATGTAATCTAGCTGCAGGGAACGTTTTACTAACTGATTTAGAAAGACGATTTTTGAGCATATCAGAAGCTTGATCTCCTTTGAATTCCAAGTTCACGAATAGGGTTTTCTTTGGAACTGAGTCAGTGACCAGTTTAGACTGCTTCTCTTTCATGTTTCTGTCAATAAATCGGTTAGGGTAACCGTTTTCTGCGAGTGTGGCTTTCAGGAAGTCAAGTTCTGAGTCGACGCAATCAGAACTACAAATTTTCCTTATCCTAAAGCAGAGTGAATGGATTAAATTCCTTTTCCTGGAAATAGGCACCCAACTGTAAAAATTAGTTAGTTGTCCGTTCCATGTACGTTTCCGGTGGATCGATCTCTTGAGAGATCCGTCATTCCGTCTGCTAAGGCACACATCAAGAAACGGAATACTTAGTTCCGATTCCTTTTCTATGGTGAATTGTAAAGAAGGATGGCAGTTGTTGAAGGCGAACAAGACATCATCAAGAACTACGTTCTTATCGCAGATGACGAAAGTGTCGTCTACGTATCTTTTATAAATGTCAAAATGCCCGATGGTTTGACTAAGTTGAGAATTTTCCAGCTTTGCCATAAAACAATCAGCTAACAAAGGACCCAGTGGTGATCCCATGGCAATGCCATCTCTCTGTCTATAGATCTCATTGTTGAAGGTGAACTGAACATTCAACGTGCATCTCAATAAAAGTTCTTTGAGGTGGATTGTCGGTAAACCTATTTCCAAACCATGTGTATCAATATACTCACATAAATAGCTAACAGTTTCCATGAGAGGAACATTGGTAAATAGCGACGTGACATCTAATGAGAACAGGACTTTTTCTGAGACATTAAAATCTTTAATACTATCAATAAATTTAAACGTATCATCAATGGAAAACTTAGATACTTGCCTTCTGACTGGTTCCAATATTTCGGCTAGCCATTGGGCGATTCCGTGATAAGGAGAGCCCGCCATATCGAGGATTGGACGGAGGGGTAATCCTGTCTTATGTATTTTAGGTAGTCCATACAAACGTGGTATAATGGAGCCTACTGGTCTGATGCGTTCGTATATTTCTGACGATATTGCTGACTTATTCCTCATATTCTTTAAGACATCAGTCAGTTGATTTTCAATTAAATGTGTCTTGTTCTTTTCACCGTCGGGTTTGGCGAATTTCGTTTGGTCAGAAAGGATCGCTGAGATTTTATCATTATAATCTTGGCGATTCATAACTACGACACCCCCACCTTTGTCTGGACGGCATATGATAATATCATCATTCTTCTCTAGCTCTTTCAGTTGGTCTATATGCTCTTTAGTCAGAAGATTATTCGAGCTAGGTTTTGAACTAGTATACTGATGACAGCAATCAAGAACTGTGGATTTAAAGTATTGGAATTCCTCAGGTGATGTGGGTGTAAGATCGTTGGTCTGATTAATAAGATTTTCGAATTGCACTTGAGTATGCAGTCTGTTGACTTTGGATGAACTGTTGCAGAATTTGGGGCCCAGTGATAGGGCTTGTAGTTGAATTTCAGAAAGAGTGACGGAGGAATAATTAAATACATACTTATTGGGGTCAGTCGGGAATCGCTTTTCTGCTAATACCTGCTTGAGACTGTCAAGATGCTTGAGGTTAGCAGACTGGGACTGTTTTTCAATGACACAAGAAACGTATTCCTCGAATTGCCGGCGTTCATCAGTCGAAAGTTCAAACAGAACATGACTTCTCAGAGTTATGTTCCTGTTTAATTCTACCACACGAGAACTGATTGCATCAATATGATTAAGTGTGTGGCGCTTTAATGTTTTGGAATTAGGACATATACGGCTACGTCTAAGCGCTTTCCAAAATAAATTAGGATATTCATTTTTACTGATACAGCTTTCAAGAAAGTTAATCTCGGATTTCACTAACGCAAGTTTGACAGAATACCGTAGGAAACCATTAAGTTCCTTCATCGTCATTGGGTCTTTGCATTTTTTCAATAATTTAATAATTCCCATTGTAGCATTAAGAACACAATTTTCAGCGAAGAGACTCTTTTCAACGAATTTATTATCAAGCTGTACAATCGTATATATATGGTTTTATAAAGAAATTATATCCGGTGAGGGAATTAGGTCAAAGGTGTAAATACATGAAATAATAATAGTATGAAATAAATTTAAAATATTTGTGATTAGGTTCATAGTTTAAGTCAAGTGGAAGAGCATATAGACCAACTGAAAGAGCTAGAGAAGAATGATGATATTATCATATGCCGTCCAGACAAAGGTGGGGGTGTCGTAGTTATGAATCGCCAAGATTATAATGATAAAATCTCAGCGATCCTTTCTGACCAAACGAAATTCGCCAAACCCGACGGTGAAAAGAACAAGACACATTTAATTGAAAATCAACTGACTGATGTCTTAAAGAATATGAGGAATAAGTCAGCAATATCGTCAGAAATATACGAACGCATCAGACCAGTAGGCTCCATTATACCACGTTTGTATGGACTACCTAAAATACATAAGACAGGATTACCCCTCCGTCCAATCCTCGATATGGCGGGCTCTCCTTATCACGGAATCGCCCAATGGCTAGCCGAAATATTGGAACCAGTCAGAAGGCAAGTATCTAAGTTTTCCATTGATGATACGTTTAAATTTATTGATAGTATTAAAGATTTTAATGTCTCAGAAAAAGTCCTGTTCTCATTAGATGTCACGTCGCTATTTACCAATGTTCCTCTCATGGAAACTGTTAGCTATTTATGTGAGTATATTGATACACATGGTTTGGAAATAGGTTTACCGACAATCCACCTCAAAGAACTTTTATTGAGATGCACGTTGAATGTTCAGTTCACCTTCAACAATGAGATCTATAGACAGAGAGATGGCATTGCCATGGGATCACCACTGGGTCCTTTGTTAGCTGATTGTTTTATGGCAAAGCTGGAAAATTCTCAACTTAGTCAAACCATCGGGCATTTTGACATTTATAAAAGATACGTAGACGACACTTTCGTCATCTGCGATAAGAAAGTAGTTCTTGATGATGTCTTGTTCGCCTTCAACAACTGCCATCCTTCTTTACAATTCACCATAGAAAAGGAATCGGAACTAAGTATTCCGTTTCTTGATGTGTGCCTTAGCAGACGGAATGACGGATCTCTCAAGAGATCGATCCACCGGAAACGTACATGGAACGGACAACTAACTAATTTTTACAGTTGGGTGCCTATTTCCAGGAAAAGGAATTTAATCCATTCACTCTGCTTTAGGATAAGGAAAATTTGTAGTTCTGATTGCGTCGACTCAGAACTTGACTTCCTGAAAGCCACACTCGCAGAAAACGGTTACCCTAACCGATTTATTGACAGAAACATGAAAGAGAAGCAGTCTAAACTGGTCACTGACTCAGTTCCAAAGAAAACCCTATTCGTGAACTTGGAATTCAAAGGAGATCAAGCTTCTGATATGCTCAAAAATCGTCTTTCTAAATCAGTTAGTAAAACGTTCCCTGCAGCTAGATTACATATGACGTTCACGAGCCGCAAACTGTTCTCTACCTCTGTAAAAGATAAGCTCCCCCGTCTGACCGCCTCCATGTGCATCTACCAGTTCACCTGCTCTTGTGGAGCAAGGTACATTGGCCGTAGTCAGAGAATGCTCTCCACACGGATACGAGAACATATTCCAGCTTGGTTTTACAAAGGAGAAAGGAAATGTGTGCGAAGTTCTATCTTAGAACACCTCATCGACTCCTGTCACTCGGTCAACCCTGACCATGATTTCAAGGTCTTATACAGAATTCATGCCAACTTCCCGCGTTTTCTTCGTTACAGACTTCTAAAGACAGCTGAGGCCTTGGCAATTCATGACTTTAAGCCAGACCTTTGTGTACAAAAGAAGTATGTACAATCCCTACTGCTGCCTTGGCCGTAGAGGGATAGACATTTATTTTTTATTTTTTTTATTATTTTATGTACTTTTCCCTTATTACTTCGATTATTATTATTATTATCATTATTATTATTATTACGACTCTCATTCTGAATCTTTTCCACTTGATCTACTTGACATTTTAAACCAAAAATTATTCATGTGTATACTTTTTATCTTTATTTTTACAATATTAAATTCTATGTTATCAAATTTCACACCATATTACGTAACATTTTACATTCGTCTATTAATCTTACAATTATATGCCTCTCCCCAAAATCTATACACCCGATGTATTATCTTATATATGACATTAATTATTGTTCCACTTGACTTAAACTATGAACCTAATCACAAATATTTTAAATTTATTTCATACTATTATTATTTCATGTATTTACACCTTTGACCTAATTCCCTCACCGGATATAATTTCTTTATAAAACCATATATATACGATTGTACAGCTTGATAATAAATTCGTTGAAAAGAGTCTCTTCGCTGAAAATTGTGTTCTTAATTCAATAAATAAATAAATTAGGTCAAATCTTAAAAGTTACTTAATACTAAAGGTGAAGTGGACAGATAATCAGAGTTGAAATAAATATCATAAAAGTACGTAGGTGATGGAAAATAAGAAAGGGTGCCTGGAGGGTTTTGATTAGAATTCACCTAGGCCAGGCAAGGGAGAGACAAAGTAGAACAAACTTCTCTTGTCGTATACAAAGACTAGAATTGTTCTCTCGAATACCAGGTACAATAAAGAAAAACTGACAACAGTTAAAAAGAAACAACTGTACATGAAACTGCAATTAATGGGGACGTGGCTAGTGAAGTTTTACATCTGAGATTATCGAGAGCAATAAAACGGACTTATACTGCCGCCGCCACCCTTTATTTGTCATTTTCCAGCCGACAAATTATGATTGCTCAAGTGAAAGATAAGCTACCTAGCTGTGCCACTTCGATGTGTATGCATAAATTTAGTTGTTCCTATGGGGAAACCTATAGAGGACGAACAACTAGACAGCTTAACAAACGCATTAATGAGCATCTTCCTTTATGTTCGGAAAAAGTCAAATAAAATCCATACGAAGTTCTATTTTGGCTCATTTGACTGATGATAGCGGTCACCAAGTTGACAAAAATAGTGCCTTCAAAGTTATCTATCGCATTCCATCGAGTCTTTCGAATTGAATCAGAACCCGTCTTTCACACATAACCGAAGCTATGGGAATTCGAGAGAACAATCCTAGTGTCTTTGCATACGACAAGAGAAGTTTGTTCTACCTTTGTCTCTCCATTGCCTGGCCTAGGTGAATTTATTCAAAACCCTCCCACCCTTTCTTAAATTCCATCACCTACGTACTTTTATGATATTTATTTAAACTCTGATTATCTGTCCACTTCACCTTTAGTATTAAGTAACTTTTAAGATTTGACCTAATTTATGTATTTATTGAATTGTCTACATATGCACATATCACTCACTACCTTTGCTATTCTTATCGTCACCTACATAAACCTTATTGTCATTAATTGTTATCATTATAATCATCGTTATTAACTGCGTTCAAAACATTTAACACATACATTATTATTTTTATTATTATAATTGATCCACAAAATCACTGTCATTGGTTAAAAATTCTTATATATATATATATATAAATCTATGTAAATTAGAGTTAAGCTTGAAGAAGATCTAATTGAAAACAGCAATATTTTTCGCTTATTATATGTCTTCTTCTAATAATACAACTAATGCTACTACATCTACGTACACTCTGTATTTGTGATATCAAGTTGAACATTGTTATTCTTAAGGTCCCTCTTATTGTACACACGTTTATACCAGTGCTCCTTCTTATCCAGCTGTTAAGCATAATTCTGTAGAATGAAATATTTAAGCTTTCATTATTTCTGTATGTGTGTGTGAGTGTGTTGACCACAGCACTTAATTGAGGAGTTGCACCCGACCCCAATGGACTGATTGTCGACAAAATCTCAGCATGGATGCGAAAGGCTTATATGGTATCGTCTCTGGAGTAGAGTTGATATCCGCCTATGGGTGAAAGGATTCGTGTAGTGTGTTGACTGCTGACTATGAGGCATGACCATTGATTGTAGAAGATATGAAAAGGCCAACTATCCTTGTCCATAGATGTTCACTAGCGACTGGTCCTATTCATGCAGTGGCCTGGGGTTCTAGTGGGAAGCTGTGACGTAGAGTGCAGCAGGTTGTAGGTGAGAACAGTTACTCATTGAAGAAAAAGAAGAAGAAGACATTGCGAAGTGGTCGCGCTATGTCATGAATTGTCAGAAGTTAGAATTCATGGACTGGCTGGCCAGCGGATTGGGTCCCAGTGAGTGGCTTAATGGTGGTCTACGAGTTCACCAGCCTTGGAACTTTCTTTATTGTTTGTGTGTGTGTCTCAGTAGCATATTTATCACTTCTGCCCTGTGACACGGCAGCAGGAAGCGCGGTCGTTGTTAATCCGGGCCCCGACAGATCCGGCATGATATTTTGTGAGTTTGTTTGAATCATAGTATTGGATTGGATAGCTGCTTTTTGTCTAACCGCTATCCAAACAACCTTTCTGGTATGATAGGACCTCAAGAGACATAAGTCTCAGCCAGTATAGCTTGATTAGGTCATTGCGGTGTTCAAGCCCGACCACCACGTTAAGGTAGCAGCTTTCGGTCGGCGGGGTATAAGACATACTTTGATCATGGATGCCTGCGCTCTATCTCCCGTGTGAAGTGGTGGTATAATAAGGTGAGCAGTATTGAGGCTCAATGGATACATGATTCGAGTCTTACAGGGGATGCATGTACACTCGTCTGATGAGTCCCAAATAGGACGAAATACGCCTCCTGGATTCGGTTGCTAGTTTTACCACCCACTGAAATGACATCTCTTTATCTTCAGATACCGTTGAAAGATCCGATATCTCAACGCACACACCGAGCATTTCGGCCTGATCAACAGAAAATGTTAATTCACTTCAACAAAGGGGCCAACTTGAGGTAATTTGTTGGGGGGGGGAGGGTAGTGGTTCACAGTGGAATCCAGGATAATGCGGATTTTTGTCCTATTTGGGATTATTCGTCAGCTGGATGTACTTATGTTCCTGAGTGAGTAATGGTGTTTCCAGGACGGCTTCGTGTGCTTTTGGAAGTGTGTGGGCGGTTGTTACTTCCCGACTACCCATACCACTGTGGAAGTTGGTTGATTCCTCGGGTGCCTGAAATAGAAAGAGGGGGTTAGTGTCGCGTGACCGCAGAGCCCAGGAGACAACTGCTTGAGGCCATCCGGTCACACACGGCTTGTATGAACTGGTTTCTGGGATTGGTTCTGTATTATGGACGATTAAGCCGACTATGGACCACCATAGGGTAAGTCGAGATGTACAATTGTTGGGGTCGACCTTTTCTAACCTCCTCTCTCCAGAGTGGAGAAACAGCATAGCTGACATAGAGTTAGACTAGAAAAGAGATAGCTAGTGGTGGTGGTCAAACCAAAACATGGCTTTATCAGTCAATGAAATCCACAACAGTTAGTCTAAGCCATGTAGGAAGATGTAGACTTCCTGACTAGTTGGGTCCTCGGGACGGTAAAAGCCAATGACAGCTGGAAACAGTTGGTGATATGGCTGAAACTCCTCATCGTTCTCAATGGCCGGTGCACAGATGCATCCACTCCTTGTGACTTATGATTTCCAATGAAACTATATTGTTCTTCGTTATTTCTATTCCTTTGTCTCACACCTCTGTTTACTGTCCCTGTTATGCTTTTCTTCTACTTTCTTCTGTTGCTTTGTGTTCTACATGGAAGGTGAGTGACGGCTTGAACTGGTGCACATTGATCGGGGATCGAACCCCGGACCATGTGCATGGTCGACGCGCGTCCTAACCGCTATACCACCGACGCACTACTGGGAACGTGAAGGATTAAAAAAAATACTTCTTTCGAGAGTTTTTTTTCATGAATTCAGTGTGTGTTATTTAACCTGGTTTCATTGTCTCGCTCTGACTGAGCATTCGCAGATCAGTGGTGGGTTGGCGCCTATTGAGTGTGTAACATTGAACTTTGGCGTTCTTTCTTCATTGTCAATAGTATTAACTGATTTTCGCCTTCTTTTTCCTTCTATTTCTTCTTCTCTTCAAGGCTGGAACAGGTGGAGATGTCAACGCTTGTTGGATCAACCTAATCACATTCTATTCGTCAGTAATCTACCCGAAGAGACAACTGATGCTATGCTTACAATGTTGTTTAGTCAATTCTCCGGTTTTAAAGAAGCTAGACGAGCTGCTGGTGAGTTGGTTTTGTAGAATATGAAACAGAGACACAAGCAGCTGCTGCTAGATCCGCTTATGAAGGCTTCAAATTGACACCAACCCACGCGATGCAAATAACCTTTGCAAAGAAATAAGTGGAGGTGGCAAAAGCTCGCCTGTGTTTGTCCGCCTGTCTGTTTATCTATTTCATCAAATGAAATTATGCCAGACATAAGAATATAAATAAATATATAAATATTTGAATACACAAGTTGTGTTTTTGGTTTTTTCCCCCCGCTGAGTTACATAACGGAGGTTGTCAGGGACCGGATTATTTTTGCACTTTACGGTATATCAGCGAAGAGTCTCTTTTCGGCGGCGAATCCATTTTCTTAGCTGTACAATCGCAAATATTTATGTTTTGAACAAGGCATTAAGAAGACAAATTTCGCGAGATGATATCATTTCGTAGTTTCTTTACAACCGCTTTAATTTTAATTTAATTTATATTTACAGCTTGATTCCACACTGTATTTTTAGTACAAGTATGGAATTTTCAGCATGGATATCGGTAGCCCAAATTTTGCAGGCCGACCATAGATATCAGGTGTGCTTAACAATGATAAAATAAAGTTCATGAAAATAACTCAGTTAAATAAAAACAAAAGTACATACTAATGACCAATCATATTAAGATAGGTCATGCAGTCCAGGGTAGGCGAAGATTGAAGTCTATTGATTTTTGTACACACAGTTTAGGCTGTATGTGATTAATCCAAAGTGCTTCCATCACTCTCAACAAGCAACCTTGAATTAGAGTTATGTGAAATAATTGTGAAACAGTCATTAATATTGATTTTGTGACCTGACATTAATAAGTGTTTTGCAATGGATGATGCTGGATTTCTATTAAGATTAATCGCGTTAGGATTTTCGATATGATTTACTAGCCATTTTGGAATATGTTCTTTTCGACGACATTGGAACATTCTGTTAGTTCTATCTATGTAGGTGTCACCGTAGCTGCAGGTGAAATTGTAGATACAGTTTGAAGTAGAGTCCACAGAATTTCGTCCTTTAATCGTATGAACAGGGATCGAAAATCTTCGGCAAGTGAGAAAAAGAGATGCGTGGCGTAGAATGTGCGTTTGATGGCTGACCGAAGTCTGTCAACTGCATAATCTGGTCGCCCCTGAATGGTAGATTAATAAAGATGGCTTTGTTTGGTACAGAAGCTGTCTTTTCGAGATGTGGTTTTCCTTTGCTGTGATAAGTGATAATGCTCTCCGGATAACCATTAGCTAATAAAACTGAATGTACATGTCGAAGTTCATCCATCAGTGTGTCACTCTTGCATATTTTTCGGGCCCTTGAGAACAAACATTTCACTAGGGAACGTTTATACTGGAAAGGAACAAAACTGGTAAAATGAAGATATTGTCCAGTCCATGTTTGTTTACGAAAAATAGAGCGCTGAATCGTACCATCATTTCTCCTAATCATAGTAATATCCAGGAAACCGAGTTTGTTATTCGATGCTAGTTCGGAAGTCACTCGAATATTTGGATGAATATGATTAAATAGGGTAATAAAGTTTTCAATAGATTTACTATTATTACCAATAATAAGAGTATCATCTACATAACGTTTATACAGCATAAATCCTCCAAGCATACCTTGCATTTGTTTCTCTAATTTCAACATATATATATCTGCTAACAGGGGCCCCAGAGGGCTCCCCATAGCAACACCGTCGATTTTTTTATATGCCTTTTCTTGGAATGTGAATCTTATATTTTCTGTACACATTAAGATGATGTCTTTGATGTAAGTGACGGGAATGGGTAAGTTTATGCCATTACTTGTGATTATTTTGTATGTATGTGTGTACATTAAGTTTGTCAAACAGAAATACAATTGGTTATGGTTATTTTAACTAAACAGGTAAAGATTGGTAATACAAGTCAAGAAAATCAGGTGTTAATGAAATTAGGGTAGTAACAAAGGTGATGAGTTGTCACAAACAGTTGTTAAAAGAAGTTATGTAATAATAATATGAATAGTTTGAGGAGTGAGTTTTACTCAGGATGCACATAGAAACAAAGTAGAGAGTACGAAATTATGTAAGAGTTCTAAATGAATACAAGAATTATAAGCAATTAAGGAACGAAACAAAATTAAGTCATCAAAATCAAAAAATCAAAGCAAATTAAAAAGTTGTTAACATGACGGTAGAAGTGGTTTTATTAATCTTCTTTTGTATGCACAGCTAAGAAAGTGAATTCGCCGCTGAAAAGAGACTCTTCCCTGATCTACGTGTTTTGTTTTCATTAATGCCTGGATAGGGATTATCCGAGAACTTTACGGTATAGTTGTGTAAGAAAAAGACGTAAACAGCAATGAAGAAGGTTGTCTTGTCGACGATTCATTTTCATAAGCTGTTATATAGTCGTAATTTTACTTAGCAAAGAACTCATAAGACGTCGGTGGCACAGTGGTTAGGAGTCTCGCCGACCATGCACATGGTCCGAGGTTCGATCCCCTGCCGACGAACACCTGATATCTATGGTTGGTCTGCTAAATTTTGGGATACCAATATCACATGCTGAAAATCCCATACTTGTACCAAAAAATACAGTGTGCAATCAAGCTGTAATCAAAAATGAAAAAAATAATAAATACTGGTAAAGTTTGTCTTCGAAAATACGTATTACGTAATGTAAGGTGTAACCTAGACGGGGTAACTAATTGGAAGTTAGAAAAGGTGGCAGAAGTTGATATTATGTAATAAGTGTGAGAAAATGACTAATCAATAAGCTCGTGTAGAATGGACAGGAACTAGTGGAAAGGCGATAAAGTGTTTTTCTATAAAATCTTTATGAAAACGCAATTTTATTAACAAACAATACTAGAGTGATAATAAAATATAGACAATGAGAACAATAATAATAGGAAGCAAAATTGTAGTCAGAACATTACTCTGTCCACAGTAGGGCGAGTGAATGTTGTATGTAGTGCGATAGCATGCAGACTGGCCAAATCGCACTTAGTCAGTCGGCGATCACAATGTTTGTAAGTATGGTAGGCGTTTTGCGCCATCTAAGTGCAAAGTACCGTTACAAGATTGGCAGGAGCCTGTACTTGCACTCACTCTTGCAGGTGAACCTCTTAAAGTTGTTGATAAGTTTGTGTATCTAGGTAGTTTTGTAAGTGCTGTTGGAGGAGGGGTGACAGATGAGATTTCCAACCGTATAATGAAGGCTAGGGTGGCGCCGTCGCGACTTTAGCCTGGCTTTCAAAGGTCGTGTATACAATGCTTCGGTGCGGGCTGTCTTGCTCTACGCCAGGCCTGTGAAACCTGGCCTCTCCGAGCTGAGGATGTGAGGCGGCTCTGCATGTCCGATCATCACTGTCTCCGAAGGATTGCTTGCATTCGATGGCATCATCGCGTGAGTAATTCTGAGGTTCCGCGGGGTGCGTTTGAACACAGTGGAGATCACCATTCATTGAGTGTCGTCATTTGGAAACACCGGCTCCGGTGGCTTGGACATGTGCTCCGAATGTCATCCCAGAGGCTTCCGTACAGGTCTCTGAGTAGACACGTTAGCAACAGTAGATTGTTAGTCAACAAAATACCACATAGGACCCAGCATAACATAGTATGTCATCCTTTAGCAGAGTTAAACTTTAAGTACCACTAACTACCACCACCAATCAGCGAATGACCTCCAATCACATCAAGGAGGCATTTTTGTGTATGGAATACAGATATATATTTATGAAAAAAAAATGCATAAAAACTGCAGCAAAGTGTTACAGAGGATACCTTCCTTTCCCATATCATAAAAATATCTCCACTGTGGGTAAAATTTATTTTTATAAAGTCACATATTGTTATACAGTAATATTCACTGAGCAATACATTGTGCTAGAAACGTTGTCATCAGTAAATATTACTGCATAACAACACTGTGAGACTTTATCAAAATAAATTTTACCCACAATGGAATTATACTCTACCACCACAGTGCACAAATTCTATGCTTGTATCAACAGAGTAATTTAACCACATTCTGTGCAAGTAATTATTTAGGACTTCTAACCCCAACAATAACCCTAATCTTTCCTGAACCTAACCCTAACGTGAAATATCCATAAACTAACTGTAATCTAACCCGAACCAACCCTAATGTCGCCTTTATTAGGTTAACCTAAACCCCTAACTTACCCTTGGCTTAAAGCGTAACAGAATCACTCCCAAACCTAGGCTGTAACTTGCCTGATATCCCATTCAATAGCATAACACTTCGACGAGCATGATTAAATGATGATGACAACACTACTTGCCAGGTTTCACTAACTTGCCCAGTGACCGTTTCAAGGTGGTTGGTGCGGCCGCACTCCATTGGTAGTTAGTGGTGCTTAAAGTTTAACTTAGCCCATCCTATCTCATGAATCGTGTGATTTAGCTTATGATAGAGTTATCAAGTGAATGTATCACTTTTCACGCATCCTCTGATTTAGTGTGTGAGATCAATTCATCGTCTTTTGTTTCACCTTGTTCTTTGTTTGATCACCAACCAAACAGGGTAGATATTTCCCAACCAAAAAGGACAATACATTCTCATGGTCATGAGCCGACTTTATTATGGTTAAGAAAATGTATAAATAGCATGTGTTGTTTCTCAAACTATATAGTGTAATATATTATAGTATAACACAATATCTTATCGTCACAGGCCAGTGTTTGTCTTTTAATACTTACGTGGCTCAGTGAATCGGAAGGTACAACGGAAAAATAGACGTATTAGCATGTCGGTCGAGTTCATTACTTTTTAATATGTACTCGTCGCCAATATGTTATGGGGTCGTTGTCGATATTAAGGTATGATGGAGTATAAATATACGCTAATGAGATATAACGGACGATAACGTACAGACTTGTATTGCTAAGTACTTAATTTGTCCTGATGCGAAGATGAAAATCAGAAGACCATCACGTTCACGACGATACGTGTATTTTCCAACAAGGGAAAATTAACTGTCACACAAGAGTTTGAGTGGAAAGTACAAAGAGTACGAATGATGTGAAAGAGTGGAATTAACTGTACAACACAAGAGTATAAATGAAAATGACTAACAGACATGAACCAATAAGATAGTTTTTTTTTACCATGATTCTGATTGGTTGTAAGGTCATGTGATAATAAGGTGATATGTATCCGCATATATATATATTTGTGTGTGTGTATGTTGGTCTCTCTTTCT